ATTTTTGGAAGGTATTGATAAGTGGTTAGATTTAAATTGTTTACATGCTTAATTGTTTATATAATTCCACCGCCTTAAGGTTTCGTCGAGGAGATATTTGTTATATATATAATAGGAGAACGTGATGGTATGATTATAAAACTATTTTACTCCACCGCTTGTGAATTTTTATGGTAGTATAAAAGTGATAAGATAAGATTTATCTTATCTATAGTGTTTTGAACAGAAAGAAAAAGAAAGAAAAACCTTACTCTGTGTTTGTGTGTGTTTCTTGTGTGAAATCCTACTTGAGATTGTAAGAAGAAGAAGTTGATTCTGTGATCTTATTTGAAAATTGTTGCTGTAAAATTCATCTTTGTATACGTGAATATAAGGTGAGTTTATGTTATTAACTTTCTATATTTAGTATTTGAAATACTGAACTGGTTGGTTCTTATGTGGAAGAAGACAAACTGTTCTTGAAGCTATTTTGAGTTAATAGTGAAACTGGGTTTAGAACTGTAAAAGTTCTTAATATGAATTTATGTTATGGAACTGTTTTGATGTCATTCATGGCAAAAATGACAGATTTGGTTTGGTTATATTTATGTGGGAATAAAGATGACATATCAAAGAGAGGTGTACCATGGGATAAGGGTGATTTATCAAGGAGAGGTGTACATTGGGATAAGGGTGACATATCAATGAGAGATGTACCTTGGAATAAGGGAGACAATTGTGAAATTTGAGTTTGATCATATATTTTGTTATCGTATCCATGAGATGCAATGACCTTGAGTTATCACCTCTATGTGATGTGAGGACTTAGGATTATTGCTCTTAATTGATGTGATAACAACGTTATTATGATGAGAAGAAAAATTGTTTATAACCAGAGAGGCTTTGATTGACTGTGCTTCAAATTAACAATGTTTTTGGGTTGGGTTGGTTTCTGGATGTTATACTTCAAGTTATTTCAATGAAATAAAGTTTTGATGAGGAGCCAGAAGGGCTCTAGTTGGTCTTCATGTCCAACCAGAAGGCCTCTGATTGTAATCAAAGATCCAAGTTTTGCAAATGTTTAACATAATTTGACCCAGATGCTTTGCATGTGCTATACAGAGGCTCTGTATCTTGGAATTTAATGATAAGTCTGAGCTTTGTATCCGAGCTCTTTATTCAAGCATAATTTTATAACTAAAATCTTTTGGACTTAACCATTTTCAACTTCATTTCTATATCGACATCTAGAGCTCAGAGCATAGTTCAACCAAAAGAGTCTCCATAGGGGCTCTGGTTGGCTTGGCCTTTGGGTGAATTATTTCTACTTATTGTTAAGTCCTTGAGAAAATATTCCAACCTGTGGTGGAGGACCAGAGAGGCTCTGGTTAACTTCTATGTTTAACCAGAGGGCCTCTGGTTATGTTTAAAAATTTATTTACTTTCAAGAATAAATCCTTTTCTTATTTTTCATAAGTTCTAGTTAGACAGACCAAAGGCTCTGGTCGTCTAAGGCCTCTGGTTGGTTATGCATCGTTAGTTGGTTTTAAAAGTTTAAGACCAGAAGCTCTGGTTGATAAAACAAGAGGCTCTGGTCGTATCTGGTTGGTTATGCATCCTTAGTTGGTTTTAAAAGTTTAAGATCGAAAACTCTGGTTGTTAAGACAAGAGGCTCTGGTCGTCCAGAGGGGCTAGGGGATCTGGTTGGCTCGCCTCTAGATTCCTTTTACTTTTAGTCGATGACTGAAAGCTCTGGTTGGTCATATCATGTATTTATAATGCTTCGAGTTGACCCAGACTTCAAATTAACCTTTAGTGGCCTTGTTCTAGTTAGGCTTTGCTCTGATTGGTGGACCAGAGGAGCTCTATGTAATCTCGCACAGAGTGATGCGAGGAGCTGAGTGGTCATGTTTCATGTGCGGCGAGGAAGTTTTATAAATTCATATTTAAATGTGATATTTGAGTTATGTTTTATCAAAAGGTTATATATATTTGTATAATTGTAAATATGATTTTATAACAGGTTTTGGTGATTTTCACCATATAATTGCATAAAAAAGGATTTTTCACTAGACCTCAAGTTCTAACCCTTATTTTGTGTTTAAAAAATATGCATTGCAGGTCAGGTATTATCAAGGGATAAGGGAAAGGGAAATATGTGAATTTTCCTTTTGTGCTTACATGGGTCATTTAAGAAGAGCATGTTATCTGTTGGTTTTGGAATACTTGTTATATATGCAAGTTATGTACAAGAATGTTATGAAAAATTTGGGTTGTTAATTTTGTAGCTTCGTGTACTTGTTGGGACCGAATGTGTACTATTTGTATTTCTTGATATATAAAATACATGGTTATATGCAAATATGGATCTTGGGGTGTTACATTTAGAGGCAAGAAAAAGAATTAGCTATCTGAGGACATCTTTCTTATGTTACAAATATCGACGATTGTTGGGGTTTAGTACATCGTCCCTAATTATAGACTTGTATAAAATTTGGAATATTATATATTAATGTTAAATCTTAGACGTCCATTATAGATGACCAAATGTTGACTTTTAGAAAAGAATTTAATTTTTATTTATTGTTTTATCAAAATTTTAAAGTAGTCGCTCTTTCTAAATTTGAGGGTGTTATAAGTAATTTAATTAATTATAATTTTGATATTAATTTTTAACAGTTATCAATCAAAGATACCGTTTCCTTATTGTTCTCAACAAGATATCATTTAATCCCTTAATTACGGAATTTCATTATTTCGAAACTAGAACCTCTCTTTTATCTCTCTTATCTTAATTTCTACACCATGGTGGAGACGACGATGATGAGATTGTCGCCAGAGTCATTTTCCTTTAACAGCCTCTGCAGTGCAATGGGACCTCCAGGACAACCAGCTGATTGGAAGAGGGAGGAGGCGACGCTGGTGGTGGTGCTGATGTTGAAGGTGGTTTAGGGGTAATGGAGTATAACGAGTCCTAGTTTTTCTTGTTTGAAGCTCTGTAATTATAAAACTCTAGAGGTTCAGGTGGTTGCGATGCTGTTTTAGGAGCAAAAGATGATAGTGAATCGTCACAATTGTGGTGGTAGCGGTGTAGGAGGTGGAGGAGGAGAGGACAATAAATCATCATCTTTCTGAAAATTAATGGATAATTATCAAAATTAACATTATTAATATTATCCATTAATTATTAAGGAGATGTTGTGATTGGATCTCATAGTTATCACAAACTATTGAGTTCTCTTTTGAATGACCTTATATATTTGTGTGTGCGTATGTATGTGTTTGTATGGTAGTGAGATCCAAGGAGAACTCCAAAAAAATAGAGAACCACGAAAAATGATGAGAAAATATATGAATATGAATGTCAAATTAAAGACAATAGAATAATCATTTTTTCTGTTTATTTGTTTCTCTTCAACTTGATTATATTTTGACAATTTTTGATTAAAACGTAGAAGCGGATGTCTTTTAATTTAAAAAAAAGTTAGTTGTAGTCATCTGTTTATTCACATTCGTTAGATCATCTTAATTTAACAGTATTTTTTTTTTGTTTTTCCGAATCTTTGATATATACACACACCATTTGAATATCCACACAATGTTGGAAGATGATACCTAAAAGGACTCAGAGAAATTCTAAGCTCCCCTTTGGTTTGCAGATCGAATTGAATTTGAAGAGATTTATAATTGAATTCCATTCCAATTTCATGTTTGATTTGAAGTATTTCATGGATTGAAATCCCACATACATAAGATTTCATAGGATTCAATATGCAAAACATTTGTTTTATAATAATCTTAATAAAATAAATTTAATAGAAACACTAGAATTGAACCATCGGATACATTTGCAAATCTTTTGCTTAACTCTCATGCATGAGAACAACATGGTAAAACATCAACTTATTCTACCAGTTCAGCTTAGTAACTAATAAAACCCAACTCAAACATTAATTAAACCGTTCATTACCTTCCTTGATAAGCTGTATTTTGCCAACCACGTGGTTTAACAAAAACTGTTTGCATAAGTTGCGTCTTTATGAAAAAGTTATTCCATCCTTTTGAATAAAAGTCAAGACTACGGGGCTGTTTGACAATTTCTGAATGGTTTGGTGCAGAATGATTAAGTGTTCAGAATGATTAAGGGGTTGTTTGTTTACCGCTTAATAGTTCCATTAAGAGGCAACCTCTGAAACGTTAAGAGGTGAATCTTGTTTGGCAAAAAAAAAATCTGTCTCTTAATGGTTCTAAAACCCTCTGAATGATTTTGTATCCTGGATCTCCCTTAACCATTAAGAGTCCTAATTTCATTGTACACAATTACCAAACATTATATTTCATTTTACACTATATCATGATAGTCTCTTAATCATTCTGACCACTTAATCATTCTGCACCAAACCATTCAGCAATTGCAAAACAGGAGGCTCTCATTATATAATGCAACATGAAATATAATTGTTCGGTAATTGTGTACAATGAAATTAGGCTCTTAATGGTTAAGAGAGATCTATGATACAAAATCATTCAAAGAGTTTTAGAACCATTAAGTGGCAAAAAAAAAATTTTGCCAAACAAGATTCACCTCTTAACGATTCAGATGTTGCCTCTTAATGGAACTATTAAGTGGTAAATAAACAACCCCTACGTATGTCTTGTTTTTTGGATCCTATTTTTGAGTGAATTTATGAAATAACGTATATGCTTGCGGTTTCTTTTACGAGTATTTGAGAATCAGCCACGGATTAATTAAAATGCTTGCAAAGTTTACTTTTTGTCGATGAAAATTTGTAGTATCTCATTTAGACCGTTCATTTATAAGATTCATCAAACACTCGTGATTCTACATTAAATTATTCGGTATCTGTTAAAAATAACTCTTAAAATAAAATAATATAAAAAGAGTGTACAAATAATAATGCGTCAAGTAAATACTATGAATGCAAAGATCCCTCCATTCCCGTATATACATAATAATCTGATTCAAGACAAGGCCCAGACCATTCGAGACACACACTCTCTCTTTCCCTCTTCTCTCTGTTGTAGGTGTGTATATCATCAAGACACACACCCAAATTTCATAGTTTTGGATTATCGTTCACCAGTTGTTAGTGGCGATGGAACGATCGTCGTCGAGAAGAGATGGCGCCGGCTGTTACGATGATGATCTGCTGAACAGCGAGAGCGACGGAAAACAAAATAAGGAGGTCGGTGAGATGGATTCGATTGAGAGAATATTTGAGAGCAAGGAGGTTCCGCCATGGCAGAATCAGTTAACGGTGCGAGCATTCGTTGTAAGCTTTATTTTAGGGGTTATGTTTACCTTCATCGTTATGAAGCTTAACCTCACTACCGGAATTATTCCATCTCTCAACGTCTCCGCTGGACTGTTAGGGTTCTTCTTCGTGAAGACCTGGACAAAGTTTCTCAATAAATCCGGTCTGTTGAAACAACCGTTCACGAGGCAGGAGAATACTGTTATTCAGACATGCGTCGTCGCTACCTCCGGGATCGCCTTCTCCGGTACGTTCAGTTACTCTCTCTCTCTCTCTCCCCTTTCTCTCTCACACACTTCACACACTTCCAATATTTGGTGGTTATTCCGTATTTTTTTGAACAGTGAGCTGTACCGCTTAGTTATCGCAAAATTAAATCACGAGAAAATGTGAAATTAATTGCTGCAACAAACCAATGCAACACGGTATTAGTTCCTCATTTATAACGTGTGTAATTAACTTTCTAATTCAAGTAAGTATTAAAAACCATATGATATTAACTTTTAATGGACTACTTATATATACTTTTGTCTGCTCATTTTATTTTGCTAATTTTGTGAACCTTAAATATGATTAAGACATTTAGCTGTTAAATTTATAGAACTCACAACTATCAATTGAAAAAACATTTATAATTTCAATATAACTTACATTTTAGAGCATTTTTTACGGTTATATTGTTATACTATTTTAATAATTAGAACGTCGACTATATTATTAAAATATTTTATAAATTTATCGTTTTATTTAAAAAAAGTTATAATACATCTAAAGACTTGATCATGTTAGACCAAGGGTAAGGTTTTTCGTGAGATCCGTAAGATCAATTTTCAACCGTTGGATTAAATCTATAACATGAGCATTCATAATCACAAAATTGGCACGATACTTCTTAATGATCATAAAATTGCCACCGTACAACATTGGATCCTTAGATTATAGAGTTAAAATTGATCAATAAACATAAATTGATTTTACGGATCTCACAAAAAAAATGCTTGAGACAACTACATTCAAATTCATATATAAAAACAAATAAATTAATATATTTATCTGGGTCAATATTAAATTTGAGACCTTCTTTTCTCTAATTAGCTCTTCCCAAAAAAAGAAAAAAGAAAAAAGAAAAGAAAAGAGAAGAGGGATGACGTCATGAAATGATACACTTTTCCTAATTCTATCCAGCTGCCAACCCACGGTTCCTCGTCGCTTTCCTAGTTGGGCCACCACATCTGGACAAGATTCCTTGTCGTCTTCGCTTGGGATTTTGCAAAAAATAAAATCAAAATTGATTGCTATTTGAATTCTTCTGGTGTTTGATTTATGGTTTTAGGAAAAGGTTACAAAAATGAAATGGAATATGTTTTATGGTAGTTGATTAATTTTGTAACAGGAGGATTTGGGAGTTACCTGTTTGGGATGAGTGATGTGATAGCCAAGCAGTCAAACGAAGATAACGCTTCCCAGAATGTAAAGAACCCGTCTCTGGGTTGGATGATTGGTTTTCTTTTCGTTGTTAGCTTCCTTGGACTCTTTTCTGTCGTACCTCTTCGCAAGGTATATCTATCTATATATGCCAATGCCACTACTATACAACATTTCACATAATTAAACTTAACCCATCTCTCTTAATCGCAGATAATGATCATCGACTTCAAACTCATTTATCCAAGCGGTACCGCAACTGCTCATCTCATCAACAGTTTCCATACTCCTCAGGGAGCCAAACTAGCTAAGTAAGGCTACACCAAACCCACCTGCCACTTTTAAAACGGCCAGCCATGCTTGGAGTTGGGGGTCTTAATGGGACTTTCAAGTTTTAGGACCAGCAACAATGCCACATGGGTTGTGGCGTACTGGTTGAATATCCCATCTGCCTCGTGTTCAATTCCCAACCTCCACAATTGTGGCCACTGGGTTAGGAAACCTAACAAGTTCTATTGACACAAGAAATAAATATAAATGGTTTTATTAGTCTTTAGAACACTTGGGAAAAATATTCTATTAGTATTTTTATAGGATACTTTTGCAAAATGTCATATAAAAAAGGCTAATAGGATACCAAATGGTCATTTGGCCAATGCTATTTGGGTTGCTGCTAGAGACCACCCTCCCAGTAGGTCAAGAGTTCAAACTTCACCAAAGGTGAATAGTGTGTGTGAGTAGTTGTCGTATATAAATATTATAACTTCAAAAAAGGTTGATAGGATATTTTTCTTAAGTGTTTCAAGGATATTCATTTCTTGTGTCACGTTAGATTGCCCAACTTTGTCGATAGAACTTGTAAGGTCGCCTACGTTCAACCTAACAACTTAATTTAACATCATTTTATATGACTAAAAGTTGTTGATCTTATAAACGTAAGTCTCATTAAGTATTCTATTAGGTCGTTCAAGACAGCTAGGAGTCCAAAAAAATCCATTTTGTTACAGTGAACCCTTTGATTAGATATGTCAATCCTAATGAATCTCACCTTTTTTTGTTTCTCAATTCTAGGAGACAAGTTAGAACTCTAGGCAAATTCTTCACCTTCAGCTTCCTATGGGGTTTGTTTCAGTGGTTCTTTACTGCAGGAGAAGGTTGTGGTTTCTCAAACTTCCCTTCCCTTGGTCTGGCGGCACATGAAAACAAGTCGGTCCATATCTCGCTTTTTAAACATTCTCGGTTTTCTGTATTCATTTTTCAACTTATATAGAGTTGCTATTTCCACATCAAAACCAGGTTTTACTTCGACTTCTCAGCAACTTACGTGGGCGTTGGCATGATCTGCCCGTATCTAATCAATGTATCGTTGTTGGTTGGAGCAATCATTTCTTGGGGTTTAATGTGGCCGCTCATAAACCTTCGAAAGGGGGATTGGTACTCTGCAGATCTTGATTCCGGTAGCCTCCAAGGTCTCCAAGGTTACAGGGTAATCTTCTGATCATTATTTAGCTTGTTGGTAAACCCATTTAAATCTCTTTTTATAAAAGGAGTTGTTACAGAGAGAGTAGAGGTTCCTACATATATACAGGATTGTTGGTCTATATCTAGCTGATTTGGAACTCCAACATGTCCTCTCAAACAGAGGTAAAAGAGCGTGTTCAGTCCCTGTATACACTACAACAAAAATGTTTTTAAGTGTCCTAAAAAAATGTTTTATAGAACTTAAGTTTATATGATCAAAGGGTATTTGACGTAGGGGTATACGATAACCCAACCTTCCTAGAGGTCATAGGTTCCACCCTCATCAAAGTGTTTTCATTTGCTGGATATAAATATGCTATACTTTGAAAAAGTTAATGCGACACTCTTGAGCAAGTTTTTAGGACACTTTTGAAATAAGACATCCTATTAGTTTTTTTTTACAAGACCCTTTTGAAATAAGGCATCCTATTAGTTTCTTTTACAAGACGCTTTTGAGAAATGAACACATTTTTTTACCGACACTTGTTTTTATAATGTTTTTTCGAATAAAGTCATATAAAAATGAATAGGAAAGTTTATTTCAAAATTGTCCTAAAAATTTATTGAAACATTCAAAAGCATCCTATAAACTTATTGTAACACTTTTACGTATGACGCACAAGTATTTGGTCCTGTAAATTTTAGTCCTACAAGACAAACTATTAGACATTTTTGGCGTCCTATAAAATCGATTTTGTTATATTAGTAGGTGATGGACCTGCCCCTTATACCTTGTAGAACCTCTTTTTAAATCTTTTTCTAAATAACCCTTGTAGAAAGAGGGGAGGTTCCTGTGCACTCCAAACGCTTTTAGGTAACAATACCTTAGAGATGATGGGTTTCAATCTCTAACATGCTTGCCTCTTCTCTAAAAACAACTTTTAGGGACTACGGACGTCCGTGGTTTACCCCATTTCTGATTGCAGGTCTTCATAGGCATAGCGATGATCCTAGGTGATGGGCTTTACAACTTCTTTAAAGTCCTTGGTCACACTCTCTTCGGTTTATATCGCCAAGTTCGTGACAAAAAATCGGAAACTGAACTCCCCGTTAGCCGTAATTCCTCATCTGGACTTTCTTCTCTATCTTATGATGACCAACGACGCACCCAACTCTTTCTCAAGGATCAGATCCCGATGTGGATAGCCATCGTGGGCTATCTCGTCATTGCGGCCATCTCCATCCTCACAATTCCACACATTTTCCGACAACTCAAATGGTACCACATTGCGGTTATCTACCTATTCGCACCGACCCTAGCCTTCTGCAACGCGTACGGATGCGGGCTCACCGACTGGTCCTTAGCGTCAACCTATGGAAAGCTCGCAATCTTCATAATCGGAGCTTGGGCCGGTGGATCCAACGGCGGTGTTCTAGCCGGACTAGCCGCTTGTGGAGTCATGATGAACATCGTCTCAACCGCTTCCGACTTGATGCAAGACTTCAAAACCGGCTACATGACCTTGGCTTCACCACGCTCCATGTTCATTAGCCAAGTTATCGGCACCGCCATGGGCTGCATCATCTCCCCTTGCGTCTTCTGGCTCTTCTACAAAGCCTTTAATAACCTCGGAACTCCCGATTCCGAATATCCTGCACCGTACGCTCTCATCTACCGAAACATGGCCATCCTCGGAGTCGAAGGCTTTTCTTCGTTACCTAAACACTGCATCGCTCTATGCTACGGGTTCTTCGGTGCCGCGATTGCCATAAATGGAATCAGAGACGCCGTTGGAAAGGAGAAAGCGCGGTTCATCCCGATTCCGATGGCGATGGCGATTCCGTTCTATATTGGTGGTTATTTCGCAATTGATATGTGTGTGGGAAGTTTGATATTGTTCGTTTGGTCGAAGGTGAATAAGGCGAAGGCGGCGGCGTTTGGATCGGCGGTGGCTTCCGGTTTGATCTGTGGCGATGGGATATGGACGTTACCCAGTTCGATATTGGCGTTGGTGGGTGTTAGGCCTCCAATTTGCATGAAGTTTCTTTCGAGGGGTGCAAATGCAAAAGTTGACAAATTCTTAGGGTCTTAAACTAAAATATGGTTGTTTTTGTGTTAATTAATGTTTTCATTATTCCACTTCAACAAATATGTAAAGAAAGAGCCGTTGCAAATAAATATTCTCTTGGCTACACAATTAATTTTGCATGCCCTAATTATATTATTACTTTCCAGCTACACATTTTTTATAATTTCTTAATATTTAATATTTTATTAGATTTTCAAATAAATTTTATATAATTATAATAATCCATTTGACATAATTTATTTATTTTTCTTAAACATTTAAACATAAGAGTTTTCTAAATTTAATTTTTTTTAGCATATTTTCTTTTTTATTTTGCAGAATTTACTAAAGATACTTTTGGTCTATCAATTTTAGTAATTTTTAAATTTTTATTTTTATAACAATAAAATGATTGAATTTTTGCAAATGAACTTCGAATTCTAATATTTTTACAAAGTATATATTCTTCTCTAAGATCTTTAGGTCCCGTTTGGTTAGCAAGAATAAAATGGATTTAGGGGATTTAGATTTTAAATTAATTCCTATTCCATGTTTGGTTTGTTGGTCCGGATTTGAAATCATAGGATTTAATTGAAATCCTATAAACACGGGATTTTGAAATCCTTATGGGGTGCTTAGGATTTCACGGAATTTCATAGGATTAAATGTAATAAGGTTCTAAAAATGTTAAAAACATCTGTTTTCGTAATAATCGATTAATAAAAATATAATTTAATTATTTATAAACTATTTGTAAATAATGAAAACGAATTCTATTCCGAATCCTATAAACTTAAATCTATTCCAATACAAATCTCCTCAAATTTAAATCCCTCCATGAGATTCAAATACTTAAAAAACAATCATGCAAACCAAACCGATTCTTATAGTTTAGGATAAAAGTAAGAGAAAAATGTAAAGGAACTTGGATTGGTTTTTATTTACCATAGTATTTTTTTTTTCTTTTCAATTGATGTGATAAAGTTTATTTTAGTTTTAGCCGGTAATTTCTTAATCTTGTAATATTTGAAGACGTTCATATTAAGTTTATCATATTTTTTGGTGTAACCTTTTTATAAACATTTCATAAAAAAATATATACATCATTAAATGTTAGAAAATCAACATTTTTTTTATTAAATTTGATTTTAAAAAACCTTCTTTTAAGACTTGCTGCCATTGGTGGCTATGTTGGCACCATTTCTAGAAGTGGACGCCACATAAACTTTTTGAGAAAGAGAATTATGATTCGGGTCGAGAACTGTTCTCAGAATTTTCTCAACACACATTTTGTTGAAGTGGAGAAGTTTATTATTTATAATAGATTATGAAAGAGAGATCAGGAACATGAGGAGCAGGAGCAAAAGGTGCAGCAACAATAGAAGTGATCGGCATGGGAGTCAGCAAGGGCGGGAAGCACCGAACCTGGGGAGGGCATAGACCACTCGGGAACCTTGGAAGTTGGGCTGTCAAGAGGGAATCTTGACGCCCGTAAAGCTGTCGTTCCACCCGGTTCCAATCTCGGGTATACGCCCAAAAGCGAGCATTCTTCTTTTCTAGGTCCGAGATGCGGTCCTCTATGCTCCCCACCTTCTTCAATATCGCCTCCAACTTTTGATTCATTTCTTCCCATTGAAGTGCCAAAACCGAAAGCCAAGTGGCCGACCCATACCCCGAGCCTAATGGATTGCTTGGAGGTGGCTCGGATGGGCTGGCCTCATCATTGACAAACCCTGGGATCTCCGTAGATGGCTCGGCCATGGGGACAATGGGTGGCTCTGTAACATGTGTGGCGGGTGGCTCGGTAGTTGCGACAGCCGGTGGTTCAGAAACAGCGGCATCCTGTGGCTCGGGAACATTGACCGGTGGCACATTTGGTTGAACAGTTTGTGGCGCCACGGGTTCTTCCGCAACTCTCTCGACCGGTACAGAATTCTACAAATTTAGAAAGGGCCGAGAGGCTCTTTGCCGACGGTCGACCGTGTTTTGTCCCAAAAAAGGAGAGCCGACAACGATTGTATCCTCATCATTGGTAGGGACCCTAGCCTTGGCCATAAGCTTCGTGATAAGGGCCGGAAAGACTAGGCGTGAATGCGTCCTCTGAGAGGCGGCCAAAATGGATACATGTATAATCGGCCCGAGGTCGATTGGCAACTCTCTCATGATGCAATAAAGGAGGACGCATCGGTCCCGTGAGATTGTACTATCGTGCACCGTAGGAATCAGGTTGTGTCGCAAAAACTGGAACCAAAGTCCTGCCTTCTTGTTGAGATGGCCGGCCAAAATAATTTGGCGCCGGTTGTCCCTCGACCATCCATGATCGGGGAGCGTAAGGAGGGATGCGATATCATCATCGGCAACTTCTAAAGTCCTTTTCATAATCTGAGCAAACGAGCATTCCGGTGGGGGGATGAGTCCAAGGGACGCATTAAGCTTCGGCCCTGACCAATCAATTTTTCTACCCCGAATGGTCACCGAAATGCTTTTGGTGGTGCCAACGGCCACGTAAAACTCGGTTACCCAAGATACGTTGGCCTGTAACGGGGCAACAACCATTTGTTCACATTGCAAAGCCACCAAATGGTGCTTGATAGCCATAAAAGAGTTGACCAATCGTGGGTCAAAGGCTCGTTCGAGAAGGATTTTGTTATTCTTGATACGATCGTACCTTTCTTGAAATGGTATCACTTTGGCTTTCTTTTTCTTTAGGGCTGGTTGCTTCTTCTGCTTCGCGGCTGCCTTTCTCTTTTTGGTGGGTTTGGGTTTATTGACTTCCAAAACCTCCATTTCTGGAATTTCTTGTTCACTTTCCTCCCTTTCCTCAATTTCCTCTACCACATCTTCAGCATCCTTTAAATCTTTGGCCATCTCATCCTCATAATCACTGTCTCCAGGCACTGGTTTTGGTATTGGTTGTGGAATAACAGACTCTGAGCTTGAACTTGCAATACTTCCTGATGAGGATTTTGTGCTCACAGTCTGCCCACTAGGGGCAGTGACTGGTATTTCCTCAACAGGAAGTTCATTTTTTGTTTGAGTCTCTGGGGGCTGCTGTGGTTGTTCTTCTATTGTCTCAGGAACAGAAAAAGAAAATAAATCTTCTGGATTGGTGGAAGCATTATCTTCAAAATCAAATTGGAACTCCTCCCCTAGAGTATCACTAAGGTTAAGGTCAAAGTCATGTATGGTGGATGGGCCGAGCGGTGTGGAGGGAAGGGGAATAGGGGGCTGTTTAGTGGGTGGAGGGCTAAAAGGCGAAGGAATGGGGGAGGGTGTTGGAGTGATAGATGGTGTTGTGGTTAGGGTTAGAAATAGGGGTTTTGGTGTTGGATGGGGAAGGGTTTCGGCGGCTGGCGGTCGTGAAGTGGACGAACCGGCCCCGGCGGTGGTGGAATGTATAGTGGTGGAAGGGGTAAATATAGTGGTGAATAGAGGAGGAGTTCGAGTAACACTTACCGGCATGACGACCGCATGATGTTCGTCGTAGTCTACCCGAACGGCCAATGAATGACCGGCGCCGGTGTTGGTGAAATGTCTCGCCGGTGGTGCAAAGGCAATGGGATCCGGTGAAAGAGGCGCTGAGTAAGGCATTTGTGGAGCGACCGGTGGTGCGACGGGAGCGACGGAGGAGGAGTCGCCGGCGACAGCCCGCTGAGTAGAGCGCCGAGTAGGGAGTCGCCCGGATGGTGGTTTTCGTGATTTTGCCATGGAAGAGAGAAAGGAGAAGATGAATAGTAAAATAATGCTTTCCCTCCTTTTTCTTAGATACCCGGCGGTTAGGAGCATAGGGAACCGCCCCTCTTTCATGCAAAACCCTTGGTGTAAAGATTTTGGGATTAAAAAAAATTACAAAGTACAAGTCCAATCATCTTACACAAGCCACCATTTTCAGAAACTCATCATTTTCTTTCATTAAAAAAATCCATTTCTTTTTTAATTTCCCTTTTCTTTTCCTTTGAATATTATCCACAAAAACCCGCCAAATTCAAAAATTTAACAAAACCACTTCAGAATGTGAGCATGAGATGCTTTCCGAGAGCATACCTGCATGAAATAACATAAAGTATGAAAATTAAAAATATTTACAATATTTACAACAGAAGGTTCGACAATCTTTCAGAGAGATTTTTGGCGTGGATCTTGCATTCCTTCAGGGAAGAAATGTTTAACCCGATGTCCATTCACTTTAAAAACCGTATTGTCTTGTGGGTTCAAGAGATCGATAGTTCCAAATTTTCCCATTTCAACAATAGTGAAAGGTCCCGACCATCTAGATTTGAGTTTTCCGGGGAAAAGCCTCAATCTAGAATTAAAGAGAAGCACTTTTGACCTTTTTCAAAAATTCTCTGATTGATTCTACGATCATGTGATAATCAGACCCTAGTTATCACCCAAGGTAATTAATACGTGATTATTTGATTAAATGATTACGTGATAGCATGATAAATTGATACATTTGATCATGCTGGTATATGAAAATTAATTGTACAATGTGGTTATGTGTATCAGAATATGTATATATGTGGAAATATATATATATATATATATATTATATTACACACTTGCATATTAAGAAATGCATAGTGTGTATGTGTGTGGATATATGTATGTACGCATGGTATGTGTAGATGCATGCATGTGCATGGGTTGTATGGGAAGAAGGGGCTGTTAGCCGACCTTCCATTTTTGGAAGTGTATAAAAGGAGGGCTTAGCCTCCATATTTTCTCTTCTTGCATTTGCTAAAACTTGTGCGATTTAAAAGTGAAAAGATTGACCGGATTACTCTTGTAAAGAAGATTCAAGTGTCTGATTTCAAGAAGTTGAATCTCATTTGATTGCATAAGGTGAGTCGTTTCTAAAACTCTTTTGCATAAAAATTATTACTGGTCTCATATGAATTTTGTTTGAATATGGATAGAAATCAATCTTTTTGCTCTAAGTGTTTATCCGGATATTAAACCGGACAAGGTTTGACCGGATTACTTTAAATCGGACAAAAGATGGACGAAGTATTGTCCGGACT